ATATATATATATATATATATATTCATACCAGAATTAGTAGGAAAAACAGTGAAAATGCAAAAGCAAACTTTTATTAATATTAAAATAGGGTTACAACATGACACAAATGAGTAATAACATCACAAAAAATAAAACGACGCAAGCAAACACCTCTCAAGTATATTCCAAGGATCATGGAGACCGGCGAGGTGGGTTGGGATGGCTAGCGAGGGTGGCGACAACATAAGAATGCTGATTGCAGTAAGGGGAGGTGCAAAACTATAGGAACAACAAGTAGAAATGATTGTAGGTGGACAGCAACGGGCAATGGGGTGGTTGGGCAGAGTTTGGAAGGAGGTGGGAAAGCTGGACAACAGTAATAACCTATAGGAAAGAGGACGGCTAAGTGTTGGTGACGGAGGGAGAGTTCGACGGAACCATCACCTCCTCAGATACAACCCACAAAGGGGAAATAAACTTCACATAGAAGATCTGAAAATAAACACAGTAAGAACTAACTCCCTCAGACAGAGGACAACAATTTATAGACTCTCTACAATACAAGAGAAACTTCTACACAAAAGAGGGGTGGGAAGGCAAGAAGAATCTAGAGAGTACCTCACGGGAGCGACAACATGCAAAGCTTCCTACTCCTTCGCGAGAATTCTCCAACAAGACCCCCCAACACATCATTATCCTGCTTCCCGCATTGCTCCTCCCACTTCATGACATTTCACGGGGCTTCTAGCCCCCACGGTTTCGAAGCTCTCCGCTTTAGGATGCATTTGCGCCAGCATCCGCACACTGTTTAGCATTTGGGTCTGTCTCTCGGTGGTGGGAGAGCATCAAATTCATACGTCGAAGCTTCCATGTCGTCAGCCATCCCTGGATCCCACTGGTGCCTGCACTGTCTCTCAAAGTATCTAAGAGTCTTCCCCAACTTGCGAGTGAATATTCATATCGATTTGTCCTCCTAAAGTTGTGGGTCATGCTTATACTGCTAAATCTTCCCAAAGTAACCCACAATTGGTTCAATCGATGGTGCAAGGAGAGTAATCTGACCCTTGTATGTCGGTGGCATAGATGGTACGGTGTCGACCTAACATACCCTCAGTTGTACTTGTTCTGTATATGAAGCGGGTGTCTTGGTCCTCTCATTCAGTGTCGCCACTAAATCTGGTTCCACTTACATTGTTCTGTGGTTGAGGGGTCCTGTGACCTCGGGCTTCATCGATGGAAGGAGGGTGATGTGTTTCCCGTCCTTGATGAAAAAATGTGTCACTATATCTGTCGTATTGAATCCTCCGGTCAAACTGTCACGGTCTTCGCAACGAAAAATTATTGCATAAAGACACCGCGTGCAGAGATGCATGTCGTATCCGATCTACACTGTAGATCACGATGATCTACGGTGTAGATGTATTCCGGTGGCCCCATTTTAATTTTTTTTATTTTTTTATTTTTTAAAAAAAATTGATTGCATCATCACCGTAGATCATCGTGATCTACGGTAGAGGTTGGAGATTGGACGCTGCATTTCTGCATGCGGTGTCCGTATGCAATAATTTTTCCTTCGCAACAGAAGGTGGCAGGCATCCATAGGGACCACGTCACACCATACTTGGTCCTGCAGCTGACTTCCCATCGAAAATTCTACAAAGCATCTTCGGTTGATGCTGACCTAATTCTCCTTTTGCCACGTCAGTGGATATGGTTGAGAGTGTCTCTGATTTGCGAGTCCTAATTTCTCTACCATCTATGTCAACGCCACGTTCTTACTGCTCTCGTCATCGATGATAACATTGCATATCTTTACGTTCACTATACAGTGAGTATAGAATATGTTATGATGAAGCCACTACAAATCCCTAGTGTCCTCTGTCTGCAGGATCCGTCAAATCAAAAGCGCCTCTCTTTGATCAGTAAGTGAGACTACTCTGCTCGTGGGACAGTTAGAGGCTATGTGGTTGTAATTGTGGCATTCAAAATATTTCTTGGTTGGTATAGTATTGGAGGTGCTACATTTCTCCTGCTTCTTATCTCTCTAATTCGTATTATCATTCCCCTGTCCGGGCTTGCCTGTGTCTCCCGGGATATCCATATCGATCGTAGTAATTATAGGTTACAGCCTGCCTAAAGGTTGTTGCCTGAAAGATGATCATTGTCGGCTCTGCTTCTGCATTCGTATTATCATTCCCCTGTCCGGGCTTGCCTGTCTCCCGGGATATCCATATCGGTCGTAGTAATTATAGGTTACAGCCTGCCTAAAAGTTGTTGCCTGAAAGATGATCATTGTCGGCTTTGCTTCTGTTGTATTTCCACATTCAAGGCGAATGTCTGGACATCCCCTAGTGTCCAGTATGGCTACAACTGTACCACATTGCTGGTGGCGAGTTTTAGATCCCCTAGATATCTAATTATCGTATGTTCTTCTGGCTCCATCA